GTTGAGATGACTTGGATGGGAAACAAATCACAATAGTGTGCATTGCATTGGCAATGCACACTGATTAAAACTTATTTAATATCAAATCCCAACAAATCACTGTAACCCTCAGGGATAAATGTTATGATTTATGTAGTTTTCCTCTTTGCAGCAGTGCAGTCAGACTTTTATTTTTTGTATTTCTCTGTCACCTGCTGACCCACACAGGGAGACACACAACAGACACTAATCAGTGTGCACGTCAACAAAAAATCTCCTCCAACTTCATATTGTCACTCAATTACCTTAATTACAAACACCTGCTGACATGACAGGCACAAGCTGGTTTAGAAAACACATTTGAACTTGGTCAAAGTTCATTCTGCAAGTCCACTGCTGCAGGCAAAGCCATGCTGCAATGACATGCTACATGGGCAATGCACACTTGTTTTTACATCGTAAAAACCCATGTCTATTTTAATTTGACTTCTGCAGAACAACACACCTCAATTTGCCCCTGTCGAGCATACGAAGGATGGTTCTTCAAGATTTTAATCGCCACAATCTCATTTGTGCCTCGCTTCCAACATTTTGCCACCTGGCCGAAGGTGCCGCGCCCCAGAAACTCCAGCACCTCGTAGCTGTTGGACATGCAGCACAGGATCTCATGCTGGACCAGCTGATAGTCGCCCTCGCTGTGGGAGGTGCTGCTCTTGGTGGTGGAGGCGGAGTGTGCTATGGACTGAGCTGTGGTGGTCCCCCCTCCGCCGCCTGCTCGGTTTGACACCACGGGGGCCGAGAGCTCTTCCAGTATCTGGACGCTATCGCTGCTGTCCACCTCCTCGCTCTTCCTCTTCAAGCTGTACTGCTTGTGGTAGAGCTCGCAGGGCTGCGAGGACGACTCCGCATYCTTGACGCGTCGGCTGGAGGAGGCGGAGGAGTTAGAGGAAGTGGAGGAAGGAGGTCCACGAAGGCTCCCTGTGCTGTCCGCTGCCCGCACCACCGTCTGCTCCCGGGAACCGGACACAGGCGGGTGCGMCTGGTTGGAGTCGTAGACCGGGCCAAAGTTGGAGCCGGAGGTGGAGGGTACGACTCCCTGAGACGGGCTGTGCTGATAGTAGCTGTTTTCTGCCAGCTGATTGGCCACATCCCAGGCAGGGTTCTCTACTTTAAGCCTCTTTGAACGAGAGTAGGCACTGGAGGACACGGAGGGGGAGGAAAACACCTGCAGCTGCGATGCCATGTCTGTGGATGAGATTAAAGACGAGTGTTTGAATGATTGCTTTGTGCTTCATCATAGTTTGAATTCCAGCTAAGGCTAACACTGAGGGTAATTCTTGTTTTGTGGAGATAAAAAAAACAACGTTAATCTCTTTAGCTTACTTATGTTGTATAACGCTATAATTGTTCCATATTTAATTTACTGTATTGAAGTCGGGGGCAAAGCTTGTAAAACTATCACAAATCCTATTTTTATTTTACAGAAAATAGCTATAAGAATTATTACTAGAAAAAATTACAGCCATCCATCGAATATATTGTTTCATGAATTGAAATTATTAAAATTCTATGATTTGGTCGATTATAATATCTTAGTGTTAATGTACAGAGCTCATAAAGGTGTGTTACCTTCCAACAATCAGGTAAATTTAGTTAAAAGACAGAGTTATTATTATCTTAAAGGAATAGAAAGGTTTATGAAACCCTGGTTTGGTACGAGCCTGAAGGAGAGATCCACTTTAATCCAGGGA